TAAAGTTAGAAAAACACGAAGTTAGGACTTTCTATAATGCAAAAAATATCTTAACAGCGATGAAGCAAACTTTTAAGTACTTAAAATAGCTTGTATGATCTTGATTGATCTAAATGACCTAAATTTAAGCCTTAGAAAGTATCTCGGATGATTAAGTGTAATGACCCTGGTCTTGATAATTTTAATAATTTGGGTAATTTTAGTAATCAATTTGCCTATTCGAGCCAAATAACGTGTAGATACAGTATATAAGATCGTCTATCAAATCGGATTTAAATTGTCGCATCCAAGATTCCGATTATGATACTCTCTTCGAGTATACAACTAGTGTGGGAGGGAAAGGATGAAAATTCAAACGAGTTTGATATTATTTAATTATGGTTATATATATTACTATCAAATTGCAGTATATTTGTCAATATACATTATTCCACTAATTGCATGTCATACAGTATCGGGACCATCATATTTAAACAACATTTTCAAACCCGAAAGTCATTCAAAAACCTCTTTTTGACAAATATTTAAACATCAGGTCTTGGTTACAATGAACACTATACAGTGAAACCTGAGTTAATGAACACGTATGACAGGTTATGTGTCTAGCATTAATGCTTTGGAGATAAGTTGCCAGCACGTTCAGGCTAGGCGCCGTAACCACGAGGTTGCGAGTTCGAGACGCGGTGTGCCCTGTGCGTTTATTCAATTTAACTCTATCTGGTAAATCCCAACTTAATATTTTTGTTCATCCCAATTAATCTAAAAACAGATTGGATTTGATTATAATGATCAATCTTAATTTACTCTATCATGTCCTTTAACTAATTGAACTGACTCAAATGTGTCAAGAATTCCACTATTTAAAGGATAACCTTGATGAGATTATAAAGATTTATGAAGAGATCAAAATTTTACAATAAAAGGATGGAATATTCAGATGGCAGTCAGTTTAAAATAATGTTTATATAACACTACAACAAAACCAAAATTCAAATTAAATTGATTATTCCCTCCTTTCTTTTAGCCTTGTTTAATAACTGGCCTCTTTATATAGTACGGGAAAATGCCGCGAAATGATATTCTTGCTGTAGTGAACACCTACCAACAATGAACATTTTTTCTCGACAAAAAATGTTCACTATACATGCACCTGTTTTACAGTAAAGGAAAGGTTGTTTAAACTTCCAGCGGGGCCTTACATTGACAATAATTGAATCGAAATAATTACTAATATATATTACTACAGGGTTCGTACACCTTTTTCAAAATGAAATTCCCTGACAATTCCCTGACATTTCCAGGCAAGAAAGGAAATTTCCAGATCTAGTTTTGCATGCACGGCCTCATAAAAAGTCTCAGACAACTGTAATATTTAAAAGACAAGACTTATTATGAAACAGTGGGTTTCTCCTTTAGTACCATTTCTCATGACTTAATTTACTTCTTAAGTTTATTCACCAATTTATTCCTGATACACACTATTCTTAATATTTTTGCATTCCATAAGGCCAAAGGTAAACATACATCACGTACAAGGGCGTAGCCAGCAAATGTCAAGGGTGTGCTATTCTTTGGGTTTGCATCACTGCGAGAGATAGAAACCAAAAAGGGGGTACGGGGGCTCACCATCAGAAATTTTTTAAAATTTTCATTGTATTTGGTGCATTCTTAGCATTTCAAACTATAATTTGTTATGTTTTGTAATAAATCCAAATGACAACTGAAACTTAAAAATTTTGATCTAATATCATACTAGAAAAATAGCAACTCTATTGAGGGGAAATTCTCATGCACCCAATGAAACATATTTTATCAAATACTGATCATTGTGAACATAATATGATAGCAATAACCTGGAATTACTATTGTCTTCTTCCTTTTGGGAAAATCTATACCAAAACATGATACCATATAAGAAATTCCTTCTCAAGTACACAAAGGGCACAGGCCTATGATACCAAATCAAATATCAAAATATTATTTGTGTTATCAGGAATCTTATTTCTTTAAATTATCAAAAAATGTCATAAAAATGGTGGCTGTTTGAATTCATCTTAATATTTCTTCTTGAGCAGGTCCTTTGTCCCTGAGGCATCACCATATAAAATTTGAGCCAAAGAAAAACTCTAGGTTCATCTTTACATGAAGAAAGATTCTTAATTCTTTTGATTCTTGGTTATTTCCTCCCCTTCCCTTGAAATTTGGACCAAATCTAAAAACTGTTCATAATATTTTCAAAAATCTTTTTTTTCATGAAAAATGGCAAAAGTATGTTCTTGAGCAGAGGCCCTATATAACCAAAGCATCGGAATATAAAATTTGAACCAAATCTGTCAACTGATATTTGAGTTATCGCCCTGACAAATGGACAGATGAATAGACTGATGTACCACAGGACTGTCTAACAGACAGCTTCTTAATATAAATACAGTTTTACATTGAAAAGAGTTCCTGGAATTGTTTTTGTTTTTCGCCTCCCACCCTCCTCAGATAAACCCCTCAACAAAACATGCAACATATACCTTTAATTAACTTTGAATGGCCCAAGAAAACTAACTACACGGAAAAGCATAATTGCGTTAAACCATTTATACATTATATGTATATTCTTTATTGCTTGGTTTCAGTATAATGTTCACACTGTTCTTACAAATAGACAATATACCAGATAGAATGTCATTCAATCAACCCTAATAAAAAGATTTCAAATTTGTGGAAACAACTAAATTTTAGATTTTGGATTTTATTGATATCCTGTCATCAGCCCTAAAATACATTTTGCTGGAACATTATTTTTTCAACAATGATACAAAATTCCCTGACATTTCCCTGACATATCTACTGTTTCAAAATTCACTGACATTTTTGGCCCTTTTTGACCCAATTTCAAAATTCCCTGACATTTCCAGCACCTGGAAAAATAAATCAATTTCCCTGACATTTCCAGGTGTGTACGAACCCTGTACTAAGACAGAGACTACCGGGCCTCCTAATATTAAGGAACCTCACTGAAATCTGATCCTTGATCAAGCGAGATTAAAGCTGTGTGCCATATAATCAGAGAAACAACCGTCATTCCTTCAACACATGGCTAACTAAAAGGCATAGGTAAAGGCAACTATGCAATTTTATTACTGCTTTATGTAATCAAGTGGAAATCTATTGCCATGTGCAAATAAAATTCAAAGTGTTCCAGATAAAACAATAAATGTACACGATAAGATTAATATCCGGAATAAAATATTAAATGTCAAAATAAAAGTCTGATGAGCCACCACTGTTCCCAATAATTGTCAATTAGTTGATTGTAAAAGCTAAAGGGATACGACAAAAAATGACACGTTGTCAAAGGTACGCTTGTTTAATTACTTATGCCACGGCAGGGGCTATTTTGTACATTAAGGAGATTGCTCAATTAGCCAGAGGATATCATTTGATTTGTCAAAACTGAAAAACCCTCTGGTTCTCGTTGCTTCGAGACAACGGACGTGATTAAAATTATTTTATTTCAAATGCAAATATCACATATCCAATCAAAGTGGTTTAGCTTAATGTGGGCAGAAAGTTTTTGACAATGTTGCGTTTGACGTCATCAGATAGAGCTAAAAGTCTCCAGTATAATTAACCAAATTGGATCTCACTCGACCCACTGACGTAGACGATCCAACTCGTAAATACAGTCCTAAAAAATTGGGAATTTTGAATGTTCAGTTGCAACGTTCCATTACGTGGTTAATGACGTATGAACATTTTTGGTTTATGTAACATTTTACATCGGCTCACGTGATAACAGTTATTTTGTAAGTCATGGAAATGGTAAGTTTTTTAGTCATGTTTCGAATTAGAAAATAAGGAAAAATGTGACGTATATGTGCAATCAGACCAATGAAAATATCAACCCTTAAAAGAACTTTGTTTCAAAAACGTATTATTCTGACATTGTGAAGAATTTGCTTCTTGTGCTATCTTTCTAACTTCATTAAATTAAAAACACAGTAGAAATGGTATGTACAGGTGTAAAAGGGTAGGAGGTCCTATCAAATTATGGTCCTACTTTCCATTGATTTATATGGTGACCTAAATACAACTCTTTCCCTTATTATCGTATCCACAATCAGGGCCAGTAAGGGCCTTTAAGAAAGGGGACCATAATCCCCAGGGGACCATAATTTCTTTAACACCGGTATTGCTGTTGTTTTGTTGATCTCAATGTACTATGTTGTGGATATTAGCATGCACTATTGACTGTTATGAATAAGGTATGTAATACAATATTTCTTCCGAGTTCCATTTCACCAAAAGTGTGCATATTTGTATTTTACAATATCTTTATTTGGATGAAAAATTGAGATTATCATTAGTTGTTTTACAGCTTAAAACAATGGTAGATTGATTCTCTTTAAAACCCTTGCAAATCTTAACCGTACCTACGATAGCGTTCACATCAATAATGACTAGAAGTTTCAAAGAAAATTCGTTTTATTCCGAGTAGAGTATAAAAATCTGGCCATGACAAAAATAAGGTGTTCTTTGGTTTCTAGATTTATTTTTCTAAATATCTGATATCTCGTTTCTAGTCTTAAGATTATAATAGTATGGGCAGTTTCTTTTCCCTTTACTCATCATCCTGGACTCAATAATTATTTGCATCTCAAGCCACCTATAATAAATTACATATTTGAAGAGGTGCACTTGTGTCTATTGTACTAGTAAGCCACATGGTATTAAATCTCACGATCAAAGTTATTGCGTTGGTTTGAAGATTTATCGTTAACATGAGATATGTTACAAATATGATCTCAACACTTCCCCACCTAAAAAGAATGTGTGTTCATCCTCGAATACATTTAAACTACATACAAGTTTGATATTTTGCTCAAGTATTTACTTAACAGATTTTCGAGAAAACTCGAATCAAATTATTTACAACTTTTTACTATTCAATTCTCTAAATTCTAAATTTTCTCTCATAATACTGTATAATTATTTGTATATCATACCATCTATTGCTGCCGAGTCCCAAGCTACACTTGGCTGCCTTTCGCCTCACCTCCTATGAACAAGTGTGGTTATCCTAGCTTCTATGTCCTATGTCGTGGTAAACTTCTTCTAAATGGCAAAAAGTTTGAAAATTAATCTGGTCTAAGCTAGTGAACGCTACTAGTATTTGAATTAATAACCATCTTGCTCCCACTCTCTGGGTCCTTATTGCAAAGTTCCAACCAATCAGATCCTCTCAAATGATGTCATATCACTTCTGTAATCATTGCTGAAAAACATCGTATACTTCTTCAATTAATATGATGCGATATTAACTTCTCTACGTGTGTTGTAATTTATGAATCGAGGGATACATAGTTTCACCAACTATTGTAGAATTTTAATTCTGCTACGTAATAATAACTAAAGTTATTAGAATAGATGTACATCACAATTTGTTAGGGTGTTCTCAAAATCAACAAAATGTAGGAAGTGAGTAGTTGTTATTTATATGTCGCTTGAGCTATTATTGCAATTGTTTCTTTGGAGAAAAATTATGGCGAGTGCTTATATTAATCCACAAGAAAAATTGTAGGATGTCATTGATTTTATCAAATGCTTTTGAGCGAAAGGTCTAAGACTTGCTGTGAAACAGAAATGGGAACTTTAAGTTTTAATTATTTAGAAACATCAATCAGAAGTACCTTCAAACAAAAAGGATGTAAAATGAAAAGATAACCTAACCTAACTAGTATACAACCAAATGTTCTCCACATATACGGCCTCGACGACAATAATCACTGTGTCGTTATACAGGGTGGTCAAAACGGCAACCCTGCATTTTCTTTTTTATCTTTGTTGTCTTGCTTGCAATCATTGTTGGTGTAATAAATAAATTCACTGTGGTCTCTAATATGTGCAGTCTACTATTGCCGTATATATAACAATATATTTAGTAGTAAATGGATTCTCGCCTAATGTTTTTTCTTTATAAATATCCAAATTTAAATCAACAGCAATTGTAAAATTATCGTATATGATATTTCATCATGTTGTGTGGTATAAAAGGGGTGAAAAATATTGTATATGGATTTCCAAGATCCCCCATACACCCCCTCCCCTCCAATAATATTTCATACGAAACGACGAGCTTTATTAATGCAGTTATAGAACGTTCTATTCTTGCTCGATTGCCCCATATCGTTGAATTGAAATTATAACGGAGTAAAGTTCGGCAATACTTATGGGAGATGATAGGGCTATTTAGGCCTTAAAGGTTTACATGATGAATTATTGTAATACATCAAATAAACACTTTGATTAATAAGAACTGCTCATATGGTCAACTCTTGATGTTGTCATTATGAGTAAACAATAATTGGTCAATTTTAAATTGACATGTTTGACAACCTATAATTGTAGTTTTACATTGTGCGTCAAAATGTCCAAAAGAACATGAGTCATCTTTTACATTGTGGGTCGAAGTGTCCAAACTCTTATGAGTCTTCGTGTACGTTTGACATCACATGGCATATCAGTCATATTATCTCGGAGAATCACCTTTTGCACAATTTGCTCGACATTAGCTTATCTCATGAGATGAGAAATTGGTTACATATCTGTTCTGAAGTGAACATTAAGTTAATATGGATAAGTCATATTTATTCTTTGATAATCCAGTTACCTCGAACGATATGAGTGAGGTCAGTGACAGCCATCGTATTTGTATTTATGATTGAGAAATATTCAGCATTTAATCACGTTGGGCGTATGCGATTCAATTATATGTAACGAAACAAAAGGAAACCTATTTTACATTTTATAGCTTTCTTTATAATGAAACTTGTTGGATGCGTGTGAGATCTCGAATGAATTATGTCATGAATCTCCAAAAAGTTAAGCCCATACAGAACAAATATGAGGGAGTTTTGACGAAATTTCAGAATTATAATTGCCAAAATCACCACCTTAACTAGATACTAGGATAATGTCAACTCATATCGTTAAAGGATATCGGATAATTCTCATTTTGAAACCTATATTATAATATTTTACAATCCAGGCTTAAAAATGTGAACTGACCTGAATGACATCATCAAAAAGTGTGTAGAATCATTCCACACTGTATTTACATTGAGGGGCCAAAAGTTGCAATCAACCGAAGATTCCTCAAGAAAAGCCGGAGATTACCGAAGATTGCCGAAGCTTTTCTTTGCAAACGAAGTTGGCCGAGGGTACCACGAATGTGAAGAGGACGTCTCTAATTGGTCAAAAATAGAGGCTCGGCATTTCCGTCAGATTGAATCGGCAAGATTCGGTTGTATGGCTTACCTTCGGTTGTATGGCTTACCTTCGGCTGCATGGCCCAACCTCGATTGAATGAAAAAGATGCTGTCCCAATATGGATCACATGACCTATCATGACTTATTCATGAGAACATGGGCTTTCAATCTGTTGAAATCCCATGATGAGAATCACAGTTACATCACTGGTGATCCACTCGATTACGCTGGTTACCAAAACGGTTCGTTTTGGTAACAAAATGTCGGAACATCCGGAAGGTACGATTTTTCTCGTTTCCTTATTTTACACGTTGTAGGCAGAATTTCCACGACATTTTTTAACACAAAAATGAATGTCAGTATCATATGTTTAAGAAAGTGTACATATTTGCGAACAAATAGTTCAGAAGACAACAGAATCGTCGATTTACTTCCTCACTTAAGTTACATAAACGGTTTGGGTTAAAAGTGCAGATCTTAACTATTTTTCGAAAAACCGTTTATGTAACTTAAGTGAGGAAGTAAATCGACGATTCTGTTGTTCTCTGAGCTATTTTTTCGCAAACATGTACATTTTCTAAAGCATATGATACTGATGTACGTTGTGAGAAAAAACGTCGTGGGGATTCTGCCTACAACGCGTGAAATAAGGAAAAAAGAAAAATCGTGCCTTCGACGTTCCGACATTTTGTTACCAAAACGGCTCGTTTTGGTAACCAGCGTAATCGAGTGGATCACCAGTGTACATGTAAATTTGAGAATTCAGACCGTTTTTTTGCATTTAAAATCGTAGTCCAGTGAAGGCCTTACATAATGCAGATCATTGTAATTGTACACCGTTTGCTTGGGGAGTTGATATCTCAGCCAAGTAAGTAATAGTTTGTATCTCATACTTAAGTGGGTTTGGGGTAGATATCACTCGGGAATATATATCATATCTGAGGAGCGGGCAGGATATATTGTATATGTCCCACTCAAGGCCAAATGCGGGCAGATATAATATATCCATCCCGCTCCCGGGAATTTTTCAAAAGTTTAAAAAAGTTTAAATATCAAAAGTTTTAATTTTTTAATTTTAAAATTTAAATTTTTTAAGTTTAAATGTTACAATTTCATTGTATTGAACAAAAAGAATATTACGAAATTGTTAAATATAAATATCTTGTCATTTGAAAAAAGGTGGAAAAGGTTATATCTACCCTAAACCCACTCAAGTATGAGATACACCAGTTATGCACTGTCGGTTTGGATACATGGAATATCCCTTGGGATATACAATACATCTTCCCTCGGTCCCTTCGGTCCCTCGGGAAGATATATTGTATATCCCTCAGGATATTCCCTGTATCCAAAACCTCCCAGTGCATAACCCCTATATATGTTCTATATGGCTTTAATAGAATTAAATTACCATGGGAGCAATTGTTTCTCAATAAATAGGATGCTGTGATTGAGTAGTTTTGAATTCATATAGATGCCTAAATCAGAATATATAATCGAGAATAATTGAATTAATGTTTCGTTAAGTAAACCATCACCTAATACAAATACATTCACTTCTAGGAAAAGTATTAGGACATAACATGAATTATATGGTTGTCGTCCCTGTGAGTTTCTGCTACTCCATATGTATATTAGTAACGCATTCTGAAAATGTTAGAAGATTCATGCATGTTATATGTTAATCTTTAGAAAGGCTCTAAGATTTCACGACATTCCTTTTATTACATACAATAGGCTATTGTCTGACATCTTTATAATGTTTCTTTGATGCTTAATTGTTCGTTAGGGATTATGAATTATGTATCTAGCACGCCTCTTGTGTTTTGTAGGAATTACATATTGAGATGCGAAGTAATGATGCAAACAATAGTCAATGCAGTGTGTTAATTTCTTTATTTGATAGACTTTTTCAGAGCATCAAAGACGATCAAATGAACTGGACTGGGCATTTCCTGGGAGTCCCATCAATTACTTTGTGAGGTGATTGAATCTCACAGTGCATATAGGATATGTTAAATAGAACTGAAAGCTGGGTAAATAGAAACAGATTTCGAACCTGTATGAACTCAATTTTGAGTTGTTTGGAATCATTACTTCATTTTGTACATACAGATTTGAAATGTCTAATTAATGAGAATTGATGTATGAATTTAACTTAATGAGTCATTCCAAATCATCAGTCCCCGATTTGATTTGTCAAAAAGTGATAATGCATGGCGATTGGCCATGTCTCAGCCCATGTACCGCTGTTATAATATTGTTCCGCAAAGAATGTAACGCGGGGCGAAGTACTCATATTATCTCAGATTGATTTACATCTACCGTTAGATCAGAAATCCAACATCTGAACTGCGTTGACACTTCACAGAGTAACGCATGCAAATCGTACGCATAAACCCAGGGAAATAAAAAAACATGAGCGTTATTGCCATGGTAACTATTGTTTTGGTTTCAAATCGTACGCATAAACCCGGGGAAATAAAAAAACATATATGTCTATGAGTGTTTATTGCCCTGGTAACTATTGTTCTGGTTTCCATACGTTTACATGGTGACTCAGTTCGGCTTATGAATGACAAATGCATGTGAAGCGGGGCCATTTAGATGTCAATACGAGCAAGAACAAGTATAGTAGTATTATATCACACCAAAAACAACCAATAGACATCAACAAATTGTAAACGACTGTTCAGTGTAACTTCGATAATTAATATAGCAACTATCACTGCTACCCACCTAGTTACACAGACGTATCGTCAGTGTATCATGGCTGAACTACTTCCGGGATTTGAATTTGGTAAGATATTTTCATTTCTCGATTACATCTACTTATAAGTCACGATGTGGATTATAATTTGGCTCGAAGTTATGGGAAATAGTCTAGTTTGAGAATGTGTCGATGGTTTAGGTTTGGTATGTTAACGAAGACGCATTTCACATATTTAGTCCCTCGCTTTTGTTACACTGACGATCG